AAAGGATTTCATCAAAAAACAAGAAAGATATTGAGACTTTAGTTTCAGCCAATCAGAGCAAAGCTCACGTGCATGCGCGTGAGATCGTGCTATTTTGACCATGTAATATTGTCTATGCCACTAATATATCCTTATATTATGAGTTTCAAAGCATTTCATCAAAAATGTAAAAAGTTACGCGAAAATCAATTAAATCAGTCATTTCACGTGTTGCACGTGCGTGCTCTTGCAAGCACGTGCGCGCAAAATGACCTTTGTTTGGCAAATCTACATAACATGTCTACTGACCCTAAAAACATTTTACCTTAGTCGGATGTGTAGTTTACAAGATCACTCGTGGACAAAATTTTCCCAGGAAGAAGAAAAATAATAATAATAATAATAATAATAACTAGTGCTAATTGTAACGGGGACCGTTACGGATGTTCCCAAACGCTCCCCAACTCCCTTTTGGTGCCATATTCCCTATAAGCTTCATTAAATAAGACAAACTCTATGCATTTGAGACTTTAACAACGTTTACCCAGAAGCGTACCAATTTCATTCAAATTTTAGCATTGCACGCGTGTGCATGTGAATGCACGTGCGCAATGACCATATAATCTTGTCTTCAGAATCTATAGATTTTAATATACTAAATATCAAAGTATTTCATCCAAAAGAATTAAAAAATACGCTAATTCAAGTGTATTTTTGATTTACTCATTTCACGTGCACGCACGTGCTCACATGAGCATGGCGACCATACTTTCTTGTAGAAGTCCATTACATCTATCTATGTTCTAAATCCCACCCCGTTTGGTTGAAAACCAAGGGAGTTATAGCTGTTCAAAGTTTCAGCCAATCAGATTGCAGCGCACGTACAAGCACGTGTATACATGTGCATGGTGACCATATCTTCTTGTAGAAGTCCATTATATCTATTCATGTTCCAAATCTCATCCTGTTTGGTTGAAAACCAAGGGAGTTATAGCTATTTATAGCATAAGCCAATCAGATTGCAGCGCACGTGCATGCACGCGTTTTCATGATAATTGCTATATATCTTATTGTAGGATATCCTAATACATGCCTATGTTTAAAATTTCAAAGGATTTCGTCAAAAAACAAGAAAGATATTGAGACTTTAGTTTCAGCCAATCAGAGCGAAGCGCACGTGCTTGCACGTGCGATCTTGCTATTTTGACCATGTCATCTTGTGCATACTACTCATATATCCTTACATTATGAGTTTCAAAACATTTCGTCTAAAAATAGAAAAGTTACGGTTATATCCATTATATATTGGTCATTTCAAGTTTTGCACGTGCGCGCTCTTGCAAGCACGTGCGCGCAAAATGACCTTGATTCCGCAAATCTACATAACATGCCTACTTACCCTAAAAAGGTTTCACCTAAGTCGAATGTGTAATTTACAAGATCACTCGCGGACAAAATTTTCCCAGGAAGAAAAATAATAAGAATAATAATAATAAGAAACAGAGTAAAAACAATATGTTCCCCAACTTCGTTTGGGGAACATAATAAGAAACAGAGTAAAAACAATATGTTCCCCAACTTCGTTTGGGGAACATAATAAGAAACAGAGTAAAAACAATATGTTCCCCAACTTCGTTTGGGGAACATAATAACTAGATGAGATCTCGTTGCGAGCAACGAGTAGGTCTTCCGTCCGAATTTTCGAATAGACGAGATATTTTCACTATGATCTTTGCTAAGACATGATGATATCAAGACTTCCATAATTTGATTTAATTTGTTTGATTTATATATCAGGAAACAGCTAAAGATGAAAGTCTGTTGGCCCATCTTGGCCCTTTATTTTAAGGGTCAGCCCCTTTTTCTTCATATCAAATGATGAGGGTCTGGATTTTAAAGCCTTTTTGTTCAAACAACTTTTCAGAATTTTTACTCGTTTTCGTGCTGTGCAGAACAAAAATATTTAGGGGTCAGCCCTTCAAGTCTTTAATGGGGCCTTTTTTCGAAAATTAAATGGTTGTATATTTTTTAGAATACGATTCTGATCATCATTTATTCAATACTGCTTATTAAAATATTTCTCCCTTTGGAGATATAAAGAATCAAAGATTTAGCATTTTGGCCCCTTATGGCCCCTAATTACATAACAATGATCACAATTTTACAATATACTGTTGCAGATCGTAAAGATAAACATATTTGCTTCAGTAATTTATAACAAAATATTGTTCATTAAAGAGTTATCGATAAAGCACTTTTGGCCCTTCTGAGACCCTTATTTGAGGAATTTGAGCCCCTTTTACTTGGTATAATATAAAAGCTTTTAACATTCTGCACAACTTCTCTTCAATATGTTTTAACAAATCATGAACAGGTAAGACGATATGAAACAAAAGGTGTCACATTTTGTGAGATGTTTCTGAGACATATTTTTGGCCCTACCCAGCTCCGGTGCATTTTGTGCTAGAAAAATTTGAACACCCATATACAACTCTGTTAACCTTCCTTGACCTTCACTGATAATCTTGACTCAATATCTTAAGTCGTTTAGGAGGAGTTATCTGGACAAGCCGACCCTCTTAAAATCAGAAAATCGTCCCTATCTCACGACCGGAAGTGACGTCGTACTTATAAAAAATTTCCAATAAGGTTCAGATCAATATCTATCAGGTCTGAAAGTTTCTTGAAAATCGACTGAGCCGTTTCCGAGAACTCGCGTGCACAAAAATCGGTAAGAAAAAAAATAATAGGGAAAAAGAAACCGAACGAAAACAATAAGGTCTTCCGTTGGAGACGGAAGACCTTAATAATAATAAGAAACAGAGTAAAAACAATATGTTCCCCAACTTCGTTTGGGGAACATAATTAAATTTAAAGTACACATTTATTTGATTCTTGTTTAATATTTCAAGATTTTTGATTCAAATAATGCTTGGAATGATCATTCAATCCTTAATATTCTCCATTAGCTAATTAAAGATATTGTAGCATAACGGTCTTTCGCCTACCTGCAACAGCATTGGTGATCATGCTTATTACCAATGCCACGTTTTTATCTTTTCTCTGACACATTTTTATACCCAGTGTGACAACTGCTATTATTAATAAAAGCAGCACAGTGCCTGACACTCCCTGTAGAACCCGTAACAAAACTAAAAAAAAATGAAACGCATAAAGTACAAAAGCTTTAAAATGTATCAAAAAGATTTTTCTTTATCATAATAATGGAACTAAATTTAAAGTTTAGCACATTCTAATACAAAAAAATTCTTTCTCAATTATATATTTGTTAAAAGTTGATAATTGACGATTTTTAACCATTGATAACAAAAATTGATTTTTTTTTTGTATACAAATAACATGAAAGACCAAGGAAAGACTGTAGGAATCACATTTAACGTTTTTAAAACATTAAAAAGACTAGTGATTTATTATTGTTTATATTCTGTCTCTTTCTGATTGTTAAATTTATGCAAGGCTTATTGTTTTTACGATAAATTGTATGACATGTGTATGCGCTAATCTTCTTACCACCATTAAGTCCATTCATGTTGTAACCGAGGAAGTTCGTACACGAAGTTTGATGGTCACTTGTACAATAAAACCAGATTCCCAGGCTGGAAAATTCTTTTCTATTGGCAAAGGTAAATTCCATTGTTTTGGTTAATTCTATTCCAATGGTAATATTTTTTTCATCAGATCCGTGTATCCAGAATGGGGATGGTAAAGCAATAGCGTACAATAAAAGGGCAATCAACAGAAGAACAAATCCTCCTCGAACAATCTTTGATGGGCCCGGGGATCTGCAAAAGAGTCTCAAATCTAGCAAAAAGTTATTTGAATCTTATCTTGTAGATATACTTAGTATTCACAGGTAAATATAATGTAGACGTAAGAAACTGGGTTTTTGTGAGCTAACATTTTGCTTATCTGAACATAAAAAGATACAATATCACTTTCACTCGGAGCCGATCCTTAATTTCTTAGCGTTTGGTCACTCCCTTGTTATCGAAAAATACACTTAAACATTAAATAAGTCGAATGCTGACTGATGTTTTTAAAATCTTGCAAGGTCATTATTTACACTCTGAATTTTTATCAACGGATTTTCTTTCATCTGACCGTTTTTGACGAGGAGCACAAGACAGTGTGACCGATCGACAAGGGATGTTTACTCCTCCATGGCATCTGATCCCTTTCTTGTGTTTTAGAGGCTTGTAATTACTATACTCCGAAATTGTATTGTTTAAGAGGACTTTTGAGCTTGATAACTGCTCATATCTCCATTTTTTTTGTACAAGAAGAGAAATAAAAATAACATTCTATATCCTGATTGATCTCAAGAAAATTTGATAAAAATAAAATGAATTCTGTAATTCACTTATTAAATTCTTCGAACTCCGTTGAAGGATTCAGTAGTAACAGCTATATTTTATCATTTAAACCTTCTTATAACTGGTCAGAAATATTTCCTCTCGCACGTATTGATAGAAAGGATCTGTTAGATATGTCAGTGGCTTCATAATGATCCTAGATATGAGTTTTAAAAAACTAGGAAAATTGTTGATGTAAATGTATATCAAATCAATCCTCTTAGATAGTCTCAGTAGATTGCTCGATTGACTTATATAGGATGATTATAAAGATGTTTAAAAGGAAAATAAGAATTTATTCAGGAGGCAAAAATGTGATATAATGTGAAATAATACTTTGTGTCAAATTAAATTTTTAAAATGGTAGTAATACTGCTCTTCTTTTTTTTGGGGGGGGGGGGATAATTGTATAAAACATTGAAGTCATATTTACACCATATTGAGTTTTGAACACTATTCCCCTCCAGTTCTTTACAGTTTTCCAAGACCTAAATGAATTCACCCAATAAGCAATAATATAAAATTGACTTTTTTAGTCCTAGAATATTTCCTTCTTAAACCGATATAGCAATAGTAAGTAGATTAAGGTTGCTACTTTACCTTTCTGAAACGTCATTCTCCATGACTGTCTTCTGAATGAGCTGTAGGAATTCAAGGAAACCACAGGATTCTTATACTGTGATTATATTCACCTCTAGATCTACAAATAATTTTGTTTTTCAGAATAAACACAAATGATATTTTTTAACCCATTCAAAATTGATTGCTGATGGAAACGCTTCCCATACAGCAAAGAAATTCTATAAAAAAAAAAAAAAAAAAAAAAAAGAAGAAGAAGAAAAAAAGAAAGAAAGAAAAAAAAATCTAAGGTAGTTTATGTCATGAAAAAATATAGAATGTACTGAAGCCCAATAGTGCTAACCAAAACTAAATTATAAAGCTGTATTATAAATTATAAATCACAAGTTAGAAAGAATCCAATTGGCCAAGACAATCACGTTTACAAGAATTTCCTTATCACATATATTACTGAAGTATATGGTTATCTTTTTCGTACGTGACAGAAAATATAGTTTTATTTTCTTGTTTGAAAATTCAATTTTCTAACATATGTAGATCTTTAATGAGAAGATTAAAACATTTGAATTCGCACATATCTGTGATCACTCCAATGATGGGCACATATATAAAAACAATATCTTGATTTTGACTATACCATTGCAATCTCATAAATTGGTCAATGTTAGGATAGGTCTCAGAGGAACAAAAAAACGTGACTATATATACACCGCAATCAGATCACCTCGCCCTTTTCCGTCGCACGCTAAAGGGCGAGGTGATCCGATTGCTATATAAAAAAAATAAAGAAACTGAAACTGAAACTGATATAGTCAGAGATATTTAAATCACCAGTTATTCTTGGGATTGGGTTTCTTGGAAAACACAGTCTCATTACATTTCCAAAATATTTCCAAAAAATCAGACGTTCATAATTGTAGAACAAAGCAACTTGCAGAAAAAGTTGTTTCTCGAAAACATGCTATGACATTCCAGTAAAGATTTTCAGATTAAGCGGCAATAGGCTGTGTATTTAGAAACAACAGTTGATTACCTAGATAAACCTGATAGTAGCCAAAGCAGTTACACAAGTTCAACATGTGAACGGTTTTCTAAAAATTTCTAACTAAAGCAATGATTTTATTTGTATTCATGATAATGCCATCGTTGAAATCAACGATTTAAAAAAAAGTCAAATAGCTTCAAAATGCCATTTTCGGGCAAATTTTCTGTTGCGAAACAAGCCACAATGTCAATCAAGATCCAAAAACATTTGAGTTTTCAAATTCAAATGTGAACTACGATCAAAAAATTAAATTGGAAAAATTTAAACATATGAAGATGCTTCTCCACATATATTTCATTACAAAATAATATGTCTTCTTGATGTTTTGTAACATGTAGTCACAAAGACCACGCGTGGGTTAGCATCCTCACAACCAAACTAAACCAATCTAACTCAAGCCCCACCTGCTACTATATAAAGGCCAATAAATTCAAACAAACACTACAAATATGTACTGTGTACCATACTTCAACTGACATTCAAATAACATTTAAAAATGTGAGTTTAACTTATAATTTTATTGCTTTTTAAACAGTCCGATTTGGCAGCTTGAACTGAGAATACTTGAACTTAAAATAAAACATTTAATTTAAAAAAAAATTTTATTAAAAAATACTAAAAAATACAACCTTATCTGAAACTATAGATTTCCCCCTAGCAAGTCAATCAAGAAACTCCAAGCACCTTAGAAAAATAAACACATCTGCCTTATTTGACATTTAAATTATAATGTTGCGTTCGAGCAATTTATGTATGTTATATACTGAATTGACCAATCTTTGTAAAAATTCATCGTTCCTTTTTTTAAATACCTTCTAAAAATCTGTGTGGGTTTTTTTTTTTTACTTTGAAATGTAAAAAATGTGAAAGAGAATATTCTAAAATTAACTAATTCAGTTTTAACATAGGGACCCCGTCTTTTTTACCCAGAAAAAAAGGTCTTCAACGACAGAGAAGAGAATGATGATTTTTAAAAAAAAACAGCAATAGCTATTTCAAATGGAGTAAAAACATGCAAAAAAAGTTTTGAAGTACTTTATCTTTGTGTAATAAAATATTAAGAATGGATTTATTTTGAATTATGCCATGCAGTGCAGATTACAATTTACATGATTTATCTGGCCATTAGGGAGAAACCACGGCATAAACTGTTAAAGTATCACGTGATAATGAAAATAATAGCATTTTTTTGGTAAAAGCACCTTCTCTTAATGAAATGTCCAAAGTATATTAAGAATGCGAATATACTTAGCATATAAGAATGCTAAAAAAATTGTACTCATCATGTAGGGCAGCTGTGATGTTTAATAAACCTAAAGATTACAATTCTTGATCATATAAGTACATTTATTCCCCGCTTGAAAAGTGGGAGGGTATATAAAGATCGGGATGTTCGTCCGTCCGTCTGTTACGCTTTGGGGTACCAATCTCTTATCCGCAACTCCTCCTATGCCACTGAATGAAATTTAATACAGCTTTCACATAATTTCTGAAACACTCTGTCATTGTTACCTCATATTCTACTTTTTGATCTGACAAATATTTCAAGTTTCCAATGGCAAAACATTGACACTGCCTTTCTTTATAATATAATATTGAAGGGCACCAATCTCTTATCTGCAATTCTTCCTACTCGTAAATTTTATAATACTTTCACAGATTCTTTTTATTACATCATGCCATGTGCTATTGTGCACAATGGCACTATGTAACAAAGATTCTGTGAAAGTCATATCATTCAGTAGTATAAGCAGAAAAGAGATGGGTACCCCAAAGCGAAAGAGACGAAAGGACACCTCCATCACTATATACCCCTTGCTTATCATCTATAACGTTGTATGGCCAGAATTTACCTAACTTTATACATGTATATTTTTATAAATATATTTTAAGAAGTCTTTTTTTTTTTGGTTTGGGTTTGCTCCGCGTGGTCATGCACACCATTACTCACGAAAACATTGACGATTAATTAAAAGATAAAGCGTAGGTCTTATCGTTTAATATGTAGATAAAAAAGATAATGTTAAACACAAAAATTTTGTATAAAAGATTTGTAAGACATACCTGTTAAGTTATGGTTTCAGCATTGAAAGGCCAATCAAAGTTCTAAATTACTTTAAATGATTTTTTTTTTTGCATTTTTTCGTACAAAATGAAAGAAAAGGTTTTATTTGCCAAAAAAAAAGATGTTTAAAAGTTTAAAGTTTGCTTGTTTAGGAGTGCATCATATGAATTATCAAATATATATGTGAAGAAAAGCCATTTAGACATTTTTAACTTTTTTTTACTAAAAACTATATATGAAAATAAAACATCATTTGTGAATATTTCCGAAACTTATGGATTGTTTATTCAAAAATTAAGCTATACCTACAAAGGATGTTAGACAATCGTATTATTTTTAAAAAAAATTGATATGAATTCGCGAAAGTTTTAAAGAAATTTGGCCAATCCCAATAAAACTGATCCTAAACAGAAATTTATAATAATTGGAAAAAGATACCATTTTCACAAGAACACTAGTGTGATTAGGTGTAATATACGGCTTTAAACATCATATAAATTTAAACTCAACAATTTGTTAGTGTTTAATACATAAGGAATGCGATAAATTATTATTATTTAAATCATTTTTTGTGTTAATTGTGAACGGGATCAGTTTAATTTTGATGGAGATTGGTCCAAATATTTTTTTTTTTAAATATTTTCCCTAAAATTTTACAATTTCATTCCAATTTTTATTTATTATACCCCCGCTTGAAAAGCGGGAGGATATTTAGTAATCGTTATGTCCGTCCGTCTGTCTGTCTGTTACGCTTTAGGGTACCCATCTCTTATCCGCAACTCCTCTCATACCACTGAATGAAATTTGATGAAACTTTCACAGAATCTTTAGTAGGCTTACACATTGCCATTGTGCACCTCTAATTTTACTTTTTGATCTAAAACATATTTTTGGTTTTCCACAACAAAACATTGACACTCCCATTATATTCATATGGGAGGCGAGGGTATCATTTAAGTGAACTCATTGCTCACAGTATCTCTAGTTTATTTTTTAAAATAAGATTGAATAACATGTTCTCCCTAGTTGTGATTAGTTGTATGAAGATTTTAACCACAATCTAAACAAGAGGCCCACGGGCCTTATAGGTCACCTGAGTTAGGCTGAGTATCATGTAACAACTTTCCAGCGATTGTATTTGGTTCGTGTTTTAATCCAAAAGCCATGAAATTCACAAATTTTGAAAGAGGCACCATTGCTTATCAAAGGGCAGATTTCAAAGCATTAATTTATTTTTAGTCAAAGTACCCCCCTGGTACCCCTGACCCAGCAGCCCTGAAATTATCTATTTTGAAAGAGGCCCCTTTCTTCATTATAAGGCCAGCAATTTTTTTTTTGTTTAGGTTTAGTTATGAACATGAGAATAAAAAAGTCCCAAAGGAGAAGGAAGTCAAAATTTTTTTTTTGATAAATCAATTATTAACATTTGTACATTCTTGGACACATAATGCTTACAAATACGAAAGTAGAACATTGCTTATTTCATCATCTGCCAGTTTGGGCCAGTTATATAAATTTTGTGATGTTGGTCAATATGTATGTAAAAAAATCAATTCTTTAAATGTCTTTCAATATATCTTCATTTTTTTGATATGTGTTAGGTGAATATGTAGGCATTGTTCTAAAATTTACTTGATGCCTAAAATTATATAATTCCTATCATAAAACAGACAGGGAGTATTAGTGAACATTTTTTCAATTAAGTGTAAAATAATTTTACTGGCTGATGCAAATGATACTTAATGCCTGTATATATTTGTATATTTTTGCCTTTTAAATGTTGAATTTTTTCTTTATTTCTTCAAGGAACGATTGTTTATTTCTTCCTCAATGGACTAAACTTCTCCCATACTTTTATTCATTACATCTGATGCATAAGCAACCCTTTTCTGAAGAATGATGCTTAGACTGTAAGCTATAACAGAGATCTAAACAAT